CTGCGTCCCTCATGCAAACGTACACGGACTGTTTGCTTCACACGGGGTTTCTTGCCTCACCCCCATTCTGCAGAGTTAGAGTTCCGTGTTGTTATTGCCAAACTTTGCGATACTGCTTTTGCAGAAGTGGCGAGGTCAATCGATCCGTGTGTAGGTAGCGGTGACTGGATACACAGACTTGTAGTCTGCCAGGCCTCATGCCTTAAACACCCCACCAGCTGTCAGTCTCTACCCAAAACCCCTCCGGGGCCACTAAAAGGACTTCTGTAGTTGAAGGTACTTTTTGCTTTCTCTAGTGGACTGTCATTACTGAAGGTGGTGAAGTCCTGGCCCAATTGTTGTGGTGTTTGGGTTTTTTTCTGTGTTTCTTTTCATGGCCTACCCTTCTTGGTTTTCACGTATGTTTAACAAGCTTACTGATGAGAATTGTCTCGGATTCTCAACTGGTGTCTTGTAGAGGAAATAGTGGTCAATAGAAAAATAAGTATTAAAGACTGGTGTAACTTACGGTTTTAGTCCCAAGACAGATACTAAAAAAAAAATAAATTTAAAAAATAGAGTGAAAACACTTGTAAAATAGCCAATTTTCAAAGGTAGCTTTGGCTTCCAAACATATTAAGAGTACTCTCGTGCATGTGCACGCACACAGAGACATAAATAAAACTTAGGGGTAAGTACTGCAAGTAACTCAGACAGGTTCTTCTAATTTACCTGAATTCTCCATGGTGGGATACTATTCCACAAACTGCCACATTTTAAACTGCTGAATTCTCAGTTCATTTGCTGGTACTGCAGCTGGAATTTACCTGTACAGGCTTGGAAACAAACTCCAGCTTGGTGAAGCAGTTTCATCTCCAAGCAGAATTTTTTTTTCCACAGAGTCTCAGCAATGTTTATATTTTATAGAATAAATTACACTCGAAGTAAATATGAATTTTGTTCTTGACATTTTTAACCTTTTTTCATGGTAGTTGGGTATAGAGTTCCTTTTGCGGCTGAGGCAGTGGTTGGATGTGGAATACTTACTGACCAACCTGCAAGGCTGACATAGTTAAGTAGTTTAAAGTGTTAAAGTTAAAGTTGAAGTTTAAAGAAACATTTTATCCCATTTATCCTTTTCATTTTAATGTCATTAACTCCATGCACATGCTTGCCCATGCAAGCCTGGCTGTCCTCACGGCTGATCCAAGTATTACTCCGTAAATAGCCAACATTTACCTAGAACACAGTAAAACCTTTTCCAAAAGCCTAAGTAACTTCTCTGTTATTTGACCTCTTACATGACATAGTGTAAAGCAAAAGGAATGGCGCCGCTTTGTACAGTTCTGGGGTGGCAGCAGAATTGTTGGCTGCAAAAAAAATAATACTTTTTTGACTGATTTTTGTTGGTTTAGGTCTTGCACACAATTACAGATGGAGATAAGTGTCGAAATGTGTTTTTCCCCCTTTGAAAATGCATGCTGAGCATTCCCTCCCCTCCTCCACTCCCTCATCATATATTGCCTGTAACATTGTGTACTCTGGTGTAAGAAGGGGCACGGCTTCCTTAGGTTTTAAAATACAAGAAAGTTTGCCACTCTCCCACCCCAAACTGGGCTAAAAACTGTAAAATCTTAGTGGAGTGTTTGGATTTAAACGTGTATTAGAAGTCTGTCACCGTGCATGTCCTTACCTTGCTTCTTTTCACAACTGTTTTTGCCTCTTGGAAGCTATTGTGGTTTGTTGGTTTTTTTTTTTTCTTCTACAGCATATTAAATTAAACTGGATTTGACATTTTTGTAAAACTTTAAAAACTGCTCTCCTGTAAAAAAAAGTACTTTCTTTAGCTGAGAACATCCTACCAAAAAAAAAAAAAAATCTTAACTATTAGCTTAACTTTCTAATGTAAACCTGAAGATGTCTTAGTACCTAATTGTTGTTTGCACACAATACTGTAGAGCAGGCCTAGATGGGACTTGTCAGCATTCTGACTGCATACTGCTAAAGTCAGCTAATACATAGGACTTGTTTTCTAAACCCCTCGTCTTTTTCACAGCTAATATTTTCACAATAAACGCAGCCAAACATAAAAATGTTAATGTACAAATTGTGAAATTGTTAATTCCCAACAAGATATTTTTGTATATAATAAAGATTTAATATTGAAAAATGTAATTAGCTTTTTTTATGATGATTTTTTGGGGTCATACTCTGAATTTTAGCCAAATAAGCCATCAAGGAGAAATCAGCGCACATCTGCCTTTTATCTTTACCTGATCTTTTACTGCTGTACATTGGCACCACATTAACAGACTATTTCCTGCTCTACACTAACGCGCTGGTACCAAGTGTTGCACTGACCAACTCGTCTGCACAGGCTGGGCTTTGCGCTCCACGCGCTGCTTGGATTTAGTTGTTTGGGCTTTTTTTTTTTGTTTTGTTTTTTTTAAAAGCGTAGCAGGCTTCACAGGTACACGGGCACTGCTTGTACGGTGTGTTTGGGTCTCGTTTAGTGGTCGAATTCAGAAAAGCACCTTTTCAGTTGGTCTTGTTTAACCTGATGTTCTTGAATGTGCCAAATGCTTGCTCCATGTATGGAGCTCTCACCATCCTATAAATGTCATCATTGCTGAATCTGGGCTCCTCATTTTCTGAGCACTGTAGCGTTAAGGGAGTCATTCTCCTGCTGTAATCAGCCCGAGGGACTCCGGACAGCAGCTTGCGCGAAGCAAGTGCCGGTTACCGACAGCAGGGCTGAGCCTGCTCACCACTGGAGACCACACGTGCTCTGTGAAAAAGAGCTGCTGACCTCATCTTCCCTGGTCCTGACCTGATTCTGAATGGCAAAGGTGTGGTTTCTTCCCCCTTCCTGGGGGAAATGCAGAAGTACAGCAAAGGGAAGCGACATTTTGGGGAGGGAAGTTGGAGTGTGAAATCAAACCTTTTACGAGACAAGCACCGACCTTCTCTGAAGGACCTTACAGCCCTTTTACCGCCTCCATTTTCTAGGAAAGGCCCTGTCTAACCTTGAAAAAGCATTTTCTGTGTGAGGCCGGCCTGTCGCAAGAAATTGCTGTTTTATCTAAGACGTAGTGGATGCACATCCAGCTCTTCTGAAGTGGATTCTGTATTAATTTGGATCAGCGCAGCTCAGGCTGGGTCCCTGAAGAGGCTATCCTCATTTATCTTAGGGAAAGGCAAGGCACGCGCTACTTGGAAAGAGACACGTTGCTTCTGCGGTTCCCCTGGATCTTCATATGCTCAGTCTGAGCTATTTTTAATATTAATGTGCATAAGGATCACAGTGCTTTCAAGGGCATGGAAGAACTGGAGACAAAATGAGGAACATATAACTTGCCGTAGTGTTTTTTTCCTCCAGCTGTGCTGCTCACTCAGTTCCAAAAAGGCCATCCTAGTGCTACCTGCTGGTCTAGAGGTGCTTCTATGGTCACACAAGTGCTGCCAAATAGAGAAAAGCTGGAAAACCCCTCAACAGTGAGCACATAAAAGGACGAAACCAAGACTGAAGTGCATTCTATTGTTTTAACATAAAGTTTAATAGAAAGTTTTTCAAAAATTACTTAGTTACAGAGGCAACTTTTGAGTAGTGACTGGCAAAAGAAGACTTTCCCATTTACAAAGACACATCTCTCCCAGAAGCAGAGTAACACGCTTCCATCCTCCTACAGGACATTTCCATAAACACCAGTGCAACGTTCAGGCAACAGCACCAGCTTCATCTAACAGATGAGACACACAAACACCAAGAGCTCAGCGTGCAAGGCTGCCCTGCGCTCTCCGGGGTATGGAAGGGTACCACGGTGCTTTTTTGCAAAGTCTACTTCCTCGGGGAAAGCTTCACTGACAACACGCGTTTTTAAAGACCTCTTAGACAATCTGCTCAAGACCATGCGAGAGTAGAGCAGAAAACTGAACTGAGGACTCCTACCCACCAGCTAAGCTGCAGGGCCTGTTACTGATCACCCCCCTCAACTGGTGCCTGCCTGTTTGCCTGTCAGCCGTCTCACAATCTTATCTGCAAGTACCGATATTCCACTTACCTGGAACATCATCTTCCCAAGCCCATATTTACAGCCATCTCTGCTGCATTTCTGTCCCATCCACATGATTACAAAAAATTACGATGAAAAAAAGGCAAAATAGTCCAAAGCACAAAGTGCTTTCCTAACACTTTGCTCTTAGTCAAAGAAACAAGCAAAACATCCGCACTTACAATGTCATATGGGTAAAACGATCATTTTTGTGGAGTGCAGCAGGGACGTTTCATGTGTGCACACCAAAAGGCATCACTGTACCTCTAAGGGGAAGTTCAGAATGCAATTCGACAGCTGAAACTTGCTAAGGTGAATAAAAACTTACTAGAAAACAGAAATGCTGTACAGAGGCATAAATCCCTAAGGTGGTCTTAGTTTTTTAAAAAGACGGGTTTTTTATTTCCTGCCGTATGCAGTTCACATCCGTAAAGCCAAACTACACTTAATAAGTGAAAACCTCATCAGTACCTGAGAGCCCTCCATTCCCCTTGCTTCAGAGAAGGAACTCTGCACATCAAGTCTTAAACGAGCAAAACACTGACTGCGTCGCAGAACCAGAGCCTGCTTGTTTGCTCGCTTACAAAAAGCGGTTTGTACTTGGCAGTTTCCTCCCACGCATATTAATGCGAGCAATCAGGCTTCTACTGCCCTGCAGATCCGACACCCACCAGAACAGCTATGTTCAATTTCTGTTCCAGGTTTGTCTTTTTTAGTCCCTCCCCTTCATCCCTCACTTACGTACGTTCGGCCGCAGACAGACACGCTCAGTGAAGCTGCAGAGCAGTAGCACAGCTGACGGCAGCGCAGCGCACTCAGCCCAGGCATGCAGAGCCCTCCCTGCCCTCCACACCGCCCGGCTGGGCTGCGGCAAGTGCTCCGCTGAGCAGCTCTACTGCGAGCTCAGACACAACAATGCTACAGAAGAAAGAACAGGCTAGAGCAGTAACTGGATACTCAAAAAAGCTGCTATACATTCCCACCTAAAGCAAAAAATCCATACAATGCAACGTAAAGAACGAGTGGGAGGAATCTAGGTTCTTTCATAGTTACAGCTTTTACAGAAGACTCTGTCATTTCCAAATTAATGTTTGATGAAGCAAACAGCCTTTGCACAACATCAAATCTTCCTCTGTCAGTGAGAGGAGCCACCAAAGGACTGCTCAGCACCACAGTGCCATCAGCTGAAGCGATGTTAGGCTGTGTTTATGAGAGAGAGAGCAAAAGACAGAGGCATTAACAAGGCTTTCCAAGCAGTGCTGTTCCTGCCATCACACAGCTCAGTTCTTTCTTACAAAACCACTGGCAAGCTTAGAAGACAGCGGCAGAAGGGCAAGATTCCCTTTACTATTAGCCTTGACAAGTACGACGTATTCATCCAGAACCAAAGCTCTATGGCACCCTTTAAGGAGAAACATCTCACCTACTGCACTTTCCCCCAGTTCAACTTCTCTCACTGCAGATCACACTTAACTCCTGCTCTTGCTCTGAGCAAACAGTAGCATTCCCCTTGCCCCTCATATTTAAAGGCTTTTATTATTATTTTTGTCAGTGAGCTTAAAAAGCTTAAAAAAAGCCTTGCCCTATTCCTTCAGCAGTTTCAATGAATGGCCGCAGAGTTTTAGAACTTCACAGTTTGCCAAGGCCCAAGCGCTGCTGCTATCGAAGTGAAATTTCAGTTTCCCAAGGGCAGGTGACTACTGTTACTGAGATGGCAAAACGGGCTAGTGAGACTATTCGTACATTAAATTTCAGGCTTAAGTTACAATTTTTTTTTGCTCACAACCCACGAAATCTCCCAAATACAGAAACATTGCAGAAGTTAGGCATCCACCTGCAGTAAATTACCTGCATCATTTGCCACTGTCAGACTCTGACCTTGCCTAAGCAACGCCTACGGCTGGAATTCACACTGGAGCTTGACATCCTCTTTTTTGGGTGCGAAACACAGTAAGGCAGAGACCACAGTCATTACTGCTGCTGGGGCCCACACACTGCACAGTCACATTTTGATTACTCACCAAGCAACACAGTGCCGGAACAACCTGGAGATCACAGCAGGCACGCAGCAGGACAAGAGTGTAATCAGGCAGCTCTGAGAAGGAAACATTACAAGGGAAAAGATTGTTTCCAGTGAACACTGCACAAGGCTGGCTGCTGGAAAGGGGAATTAACAGTGAGCTCTGTGGGGTTCTCCTGCTGTGCAAAGACAGATGAGCCGCGGTTTTGAGGCCCACCCGCAGGCACAGCACCTTGTGAAATGGACGCTGGAGACCAAAGTGACTCAATGCTAAGGACAGATGTCACATGTGCTCTGCTGGACATTTGGAAGAGGCTCATCCAGCCCCTTTCTGCCTACTTCCCAGAGCACAGAATAAAATGGGATGAGTGATGCATACAAGCCCCACACGGACTATCCCTGCCCTTGACAAAAGGCAGCTCGTAGGAAAGGAGATTCTCCTCCCCATCATTCTTGTCTCCTCCCTAAGTATCTCCCCAGTGTTCCACTCTGAGCCTGCAGGCTGGATGAATAATTTAGGCCTTGAATAAAACAAGAACCCCCGCTCTGAAAATCTGTATGAGATGCCGACTTCAGCAAAAACACAATTTGAGGGGAACAACATAGCTGAGACTGCCTTAGGGCAGGGAGATGGACTAAATGATCCCTGGGGTGTCCTTCAACTGTGTAACTCAAAGGCTGTAATTCCTAATAGAAGCAACAGGCATAAAACAGCTTTTGATTCTTGATCCAACTGCATTTACGCCTGGACATTAGCAGCAGGCATTATGTCCAAAGCCAGGTGCTAATGCAACACGCTCAATTAGCTGCGCCCTGCTGTTAATAGCATCTGACAAGTGTTACCACATCAGCAGGTTTCTGTTTTCTATTTCTTTTCTGTCTCTGCAAATGAGTTAAGCTTTCCTACCTGGGTACTGTGCGTATACGGATGCACGCTGACATTTTGCTGCACAGTGCCACATCTAACTAATACCACACTGGACTTCCCTTCGTTATCTTAATGTCAGGAAATTCTTTATGTATGAGAGGAGAAAAAGCCCGGAAAGTCTCTCTTGGACTTTGCAGGTAGCTTTTAATTAACACTGTGGTGCCAACTAGATTGTGAGCATGGCATTTGTTTGACATTTATGTTTAATCTCCTTTTCAGCTGCAAAACAACCCTCTAATTGCAGTGTCTCTATGTTAAATCATTTTTGCTAAATATAGTTTGCACCTCTACACTATACGCTGTTACACAGAAGACAACACCCAATTTGTAATTCTCAGCGTTTAGGCGGGAAGAACTCTGGCATGCAACAAGAGAAATTATCTTGCCAAACTGGAAATGCCCGTATTCAGCAGAAAGGAGACTTGAGTGATCTTGGGGGAATGTGTGTTTTACAAGCAAAATCTGTCAGTCATTGAGGGCTGAATTTAATTCACAGCCAGGAACGCTAAGCATGGTGTATCAAACCCATAAAAAGGAACAGAATAAATTATGTTCACTCAGCTCAAAAAGAGCCACAAACACTAACTCAGAAACAGCTTCTAAAAGGAAAATTAAAAAAAAGAAAGGGCTCTTCTCTTCGTTCATGACATACCAGAGATAGCACTGATGAGGAGGTGAGCAGCTGAGAAGAGTTCTTCATCCTGAGGCTGAAATTTCTGCAACAACAGCTCACTCTGTAAACTGCACCCTAAGAGCTGCAAGAAGTCAATCAGGTCTCGCTGTTGTGCAGATTTTAACCCCTTCATATCTGGCTTGTCTCCTGTGCAGATATCATCTACCTGGAAGCAAAAAAATAAGTAAAACTTCTTGAAAAGAAAAAGGTTCAAGCAAAAGAGAATGCTAGCTCTATTGCGAAATTACTTTTAGGAAGCAAGCAAAAGTTTCTTCATCTTACCACGTCCTCCAGGGCAGCTACCATTTCTTCATGGAGCAAGAATTCACAAAGGGTTTTATACAAAGCTCTTTGCTTGTCTTCCGGCAGCTTCACAAAGGGCTGGAACTGACTCTTCAACTGTGACAGATCTTTCCCAAGAAAGCCGTAAAAATGAAAACTAAGTATTGCTACATAAACGCCAGTAAAAACAGCTTCCATTTTTGCTATATGTTTCCTAAGCTCGTTTATCACATCATCTTGACATCCTGATTTCCATCATCACAAGTTATAACGAAAGGCTGGAACACATCTGGTGATATTTCCCTAAGGAGCCAATGATGCATCAATGACAATTCTAAGAAAGAAGAACAGTTACTGAGGAACAACATTCGGTGTTCAATATTTGTAGTATTTTAGAAGTCAGTATTTTAATGTTAACTGAACTAACCATATATTAAGTTTCTCACTTGAAAGTTCATCTCCAGACAATGCTCATTTATAAGGCAGAATGAAGAGTTCTGCTCATAGCCTTATTTCTTAATCTGTGGTTTAATTACAAAGTTAATGGTATGAGTCCACACACAGAATTAAAAGTTCCTTTTGTGATCCTGAATTGTTATTGTCCTCATATTTCATCAGGTGCATCAAGAATTACAACTCTTCACTCTCGACCTGATTATTATTACAAAAATCGGGACAAAAATCTCTTCTTGACTGAAATATTGAATCTATTACAATACATACAATAGGAGCACAAGAGAGTTCACTGCACTTCCTTCCCCACAATTCAACAATGACAAAAAAACAAAATCTTTTATGACATGAAATTACCCCTTTGCCAAAGAAAATAAGTTTTCAAGTCAATAATGCCAACTGGAAGGTTGGAATGTGTTTTTCTACATTCCAAAAATATGGGCATGCAAGTGCTCTTAACCTTGTTTAAAAGAAATTTCCCTTCATGTCACTCCGGTCAAGAAACATGCTCTCTTTAAAGATGCCTTTTATATTTAAAAATTACTTCATTAGGAAAGAAAAAAAAAAAAAAAAAAACCAGTCACAGGCAGATATTTTTTTTACCTGATGCAATCATATAACTGTCTATACAAATAACAGAAGAGGAAACCTACATTAAATTGCTGTAGTAGAAACAATTTTTTTAGTTTTTTTCAGAGAGACAGTTCAGGTTAATTAATTAAAAGAAATCTCCAAACCTCTTAAGCAAGAAAGACACAAAGGTATATCAAGCTAAAAGAAAAAATGAAACAGTGGCATACCATTCTTTCACAAGTAAGTGGTTTTTATATGCACACAGAGACACAGTTATGCCTTTCAAACAAGTCTACATTGGAGAATGACAACTTACTTCAGGACAACAAATATCTATTTTGGTCACAGTTAGTCTATTGACCAGTCATGAACAAAGGGTGAAATTTAGAGGTAACAAAAGTGATGCTCATCGTTGGATCCAGCTGTAAGGACTCTATCAAGAACTGATGAAAAGTAAAGCGTGTTCTGAGGCCTCGATTTGTTTTCCCTTTTTTCATTCCTCTGGTGACAACCCTGCCCCTTTCTTCCACATCTCTAGAATAAACAAGTTGTGCCTCACCCATTATACCAATCTGGAAGCTTCACTTACATCAGCCTTAGCTGATACCGAAGATTTCTACAAAGCTTCTCAGAAAATAATGAGGCTAAGTGAAGGCAGGAGAGATGTCTTTGTATTTTTAGAGACTTAAAGTAACCTTTAACTGAGAAGCTTTACTGAGAGTATCTTCCAAATAATGAGAAAATATTTTCAGTGACCCTTTCTGAATGAAAGCATAAATCTAAACTAATCTTATAGAGCTTATCTGGAATGTAACAGAACGGGCATAAAAACCTGATTTTGTAAGATCATAATTTATGACAAAGGGATTCAGAATGTTCCTAGGGAACAGTCCACTGCATATACCTACTGTAGAAGTAAATTTTTCTATTCTTTCAGTGTATTCCCCCAAGAGTTCCTGATAAGGGCTATTAAAATGAACTAACATAATTTCTTGTGTACTATTGTACCAGAGTACTTCCTTCTATCGTGTTGCTTAACTGGCTGTAAGGTAATCATGTCAAGCATTTCTGGTAATACCTTGTTTCAATACACTTAAAGAAGCATCGCTGGGAATGAGGTTTTTAGCTCCAGAGTACCTCTCATTATCAACAGCATCTGGCTGATAGAGGAACAAAGTATCTCTGAATCCTGCGGAATGGGGATAAGTTGAACCTTCAGTGCTTTCTTTTTCAAATCCTCCTTGCTGTTCATCTAGCAGACAGAATTCTGTAATTAGAAATTAAATTTAAAAAAAAAATTAATAAAATTCACAAGCAATTACTGAATGAGATGCTTGCTTCTATTATGCAGCATCCTCGCACGTGATTTCTCCATGTCTGCTGCTACGTCTGTGAGTTACCAAACATTACTGCAGCCCTGATGTTTGGTACAGCGTGCACAGAACAAAGGTCCTGTGGTGCAGCTACCACCCATAAAATGTGACACCAGCTCCTGTGAATTAAAGTAACGTAGACAGCAAATAACACGAAAACCTCTCACTGACACAGCAAACCGGAACACTGCATACAAGAGATGCAGGTATGAATTCTTCACATTTTCTACCAATTAAGAGATGTGCTGCTATGGGGGCTACAGGATCCGCTCATGACGGAGACACAGGAAAGCACTTTCTGAGATTCAGAAGAACTCTCCGAGTCCCTCACAGAGCTGCTTCTGGTCACGGCACTGATAAGACTCCTCTTTCTCAGCCAAGCCACAGGTCCCTCCTCAAGTTCTCCAGATAAGTAGAAAACAGGGGGCTTCCAGAGTCACTAGAGGACTTCACCCAGGCATGTTCACTAACAGAACCACTCTGCAATACACTGTCTCTTTGCAATAACTTAATGGAGAAAATAACACGGCCTGGCTGGATCACCCTTTCTGCCTCGTCTTCATGACAAGCACTGGCTGACCCCACCCAAACAGGACTGCAGTTTCCTGCCACCCCAATGCCTCCATCGTGATGATGCTAAGGGGCTCCTGGAAGGTACACAGGAAGCCTTTGTAAGAGGTACGCTGGGAAATCTGGAATATCAAGTTCTGTGTTCAGGCCTCCAATACTGTGCCCCAAAGATGCAGAATATAATCAAAGCCCTATGCATATTCTGATCATCTTTTATTGGTGCAAATGTAAGATTTGAAACCGTACCCCTGGCCCTCTGCAGCAGGTCTGAGAACATGAGCAGGCTAGCAAGAGAAACTCAATTTTAAAGTTAACACCTGACAGCAAAGGGGAGGGAAGAAAAAAAAAAAGTAACTAATCAAGCAAGTGTTCACATGTACCAGGCACAAAACCCAAATATAACCTTGCTGCAGTTTTAAGAGTCTGTCTCACCAAATTAAGGACATTCAAAGCAGATGAGAAAGCACAGAGAGCACTCCATCAGCAAAAAGCTTTTTCAAAGGGAGAGCAGACAAAGACATCTCTGCCACAGAGAAAGAAAGACGACAGAGATCTTTATGCCTGCACAACCCTTCACAGAGAAGAGCAAGCTACAGTGGAGCAGAAAGCGATCAACACAAATTAAAGAACTTCCCAAAGCAACAAGACTCCAGACAGCAGCTACGGCACTATAAGGCCACCATGTTCATGTTACTTTCATGGGTAATAATAAGGCTTTCACACGAACCCTGAAGGAGGAAGACAGTGCTGATAAACTACCTGCCCTCCTAAGGCAGAACGATGCTGATGAGGGAAATCAATACGCAGCATCACCTCAGAAGTTTTAAGAGACACAGACCCTGCTGTTAAATCTTGTAAGAGGACTCAATTCAGAGGAAAACACAGGATTCTGAAAGTTTTATATTAATAAGACTGTTAATTCATTTTATATCTCATTAATTTAATCATATGCTTTAAAAAAAAGGGAAAAATAAATGAAAGACCATACATTAATACTGTGATATTTACTGAATTCTATTACACCCATTAATGACAAACCTCCACTAGTGCAGTTAGAGCTTGTTAGTTATTCAGAAACATGAACAAAAATGGAAGAAAACTTGAGATGATCAATGAAAACAATCAAAGGCAAAGAGACTTCTTTGCGGGGATAAACTGAAAAGATTAGGAAAATTTAATTTAAAAACATTGGATGCAAGTCACAAATATATAGCAATGAATAGAACAAAGCCAATCAGCCCGGTGCTAACATACCTCCTGTTTTGTAAAGCAAGAACAAGAGGACTTGCAGTGAAATTTTAGAGACACAAAACTGCAAAGCCTTTTAACAGGAACAGCTTTTAAATATAGTGGAAAATTAGCCTGTAGAAATTAAACAGAATGATTACAGGAAAATAATACTGTAAAGGAACTGGAAAAGGATTAGATTTTTTTTCCCTTTTATTTTTAATGTCCAACAACAACTAGTCACATTAGCCAGGACATTTTTAGGAAAGTTTATATACCATTCTTCCTTACAGAATAGCACTGTGAGTGGCAAAGAAAAAGAAACAACAAACCCCAAACTTACATGGACCTTAATCCATAATTATATGTGAAGAGAATCCCATTATGTTACACCTGCTACTGGTCACTTTCAGTCTCATGTGAAAGGACTACATCAGTCTCTGGATTTAACTTCGAAGGCTATTTTTACCTCCACAGACACTGATCACTGCTCAAACATTAAGAAGTTGAAGGTTAGGCTCCACCATACTTATTCTTGCTAGCCAATCCCTAATTTTCTTGTTAGTTCCTGCACTTTACCTTCTCAATGACAGTCAGGCAAGGAAAGAGAGCACAAATTAAAAAAAAAGGAGACAAGACAGGTTGTTTGAGAAATACAGATCACTAACAAGACCCATGTATTATCAGCTAGCAGGACATGGGAATTTCCACCTAGAAATCACGCAAGCAGGCTATCAGCTATACACCTATGTAGTCAGATAGCCTTAACCACACCTGATTGCTCTGAATTACAGTTCTGTTATGACTATGAAGTCAATGCCCTCTGGTATATCTCTGTGTTCAGTCTATGTCAGAGCAATTCTGCATTTCGGAATTTTTTTTTACAGGTTACATGATATTTACTTATATTCCTGAACCTACAGACTTCCTTAATATCAGAAGTCAGTTGAAGGAGAATGATAGTATCTTCTGCATTTCTTATCCAAATAAAGCGTATCCTGGATTTAAATCTCAACTGCACTTCAATTATTTCTTCAACGTATCTCCTGTTCTCTCCACATCAGTCCTTTCCAACTTTCAGCCCTGCACAGTCCATCTGATTTCCTTCTTTCTTGCTTAGCATCGTCTGAAACCTTCTTTAGGTCAGTGAGTTTAACTGAGGATACACAAGAAAGAAAAACTCAGGTGATTCTGCAGAGCAGCGTCACTAGTCCCCGCCAAAGCCAATGTCAACACTTTTTTTTAACTTAACACCTGAAAGTATATGACCTGAAATAAGTAAAGCATGACCAGAAAACATGGCAAAGACACTTGTGCAACGATTCTGTGAACAATCTACATATGAAAGTGTAAAACAGACAGAAAAGTGTAAAATAGACAGAAAAGTTTAAATTTCAGTCCTATACTTCATGAACAATTCTTTTCTTAGCATGACTGTTGTCTAAACATTCCTGCTTGACCGTTCATTTATATTCAGCTCACTGTCCCTGACAACAGGTGAAGGCGACAGCATGGGCTGAGGGCCAGCTAGCTAGAAGCAAGATTGCAGAAAAAGACCCGCACAACAAATCTGAGAGGATCAGCAGCGTGCCCTTGCAGCTACTGAAGTTTGCTGCATACTGGGCTGTACTGGCAAAAGTGTAGCTAGAAGATCAATGAAAGTGATTTTACAATTTGGGAGACTGCATTCAGAGCGCCATGTCCAGTTTTGGAATCTCCGGTACAAGACAGACACGCACATACTGGAGCAATCTACCAAACAGCCACGAAGACCACTGGGGGCTGGAGAACATCATCTATGAGAAGAAGCTGAGAAACTGAGTTTGTCCGGCTTGGAGAAAATATTGCTAAGGGAGAGCCTTATTGCTATCCACAGCCACCCAATGGAAGCATATAGAGAAGATGGAGCCAGACTCTTCTGTATGACGACAGGACAAAAGGCAAGAGACAAGTTAAAGAAAGGGGAATTCTCACTAGCTATTAAGAAAGAAAGAAAAGTTCACCACGATGGTAGTCAAATATGAGAACAGGCTTCCAAGAGGGGTGAAGGAATCTCCATTTCCAGAGATATTCAAAATTTGAACAGAGAAGGATATAATTGAACTCTGAACTTAGATCAAACTTCAAAAGTTGGCCCTGCCTTGAGCTGGCGATTGAGCTAGATGACCTCCTGTAGTCCCTCGAAACTTAAATTATTCAGAGTTTATGATTTATGCAAACAAATGAAAAAGCATTACTAAACCAGAAGAGGAGCGTTTCACAGCACAAATAAGTATCAAGGCAATGGAGACCTATACAATGTCATCACCTTCATACACAGGGAAATGCGAAAATCATTGCACAACAGACAGCTCTGTCCACAGCTGAACTGTGTGCCACAGAAAGAGACCTTTATACTTACCAAACTGGCCATTGTGCTTTATAGACAACTCAATTACACCATAGGCAATAGTGGTTGCAGGAGGAATTTCAAGGATCACACTGGAATCCTTCATCATACTTCCATTTTCACTCACTGAAACCTAGAGGACAGATTTATTCACATTTTATCTGATTCAGCTATCGTGTAGCTTAAACACAGAATTAATTTAGAGGAAATACAGAAAAAGAATGTGCTTTATTCTCCATGATGTCTAATTAAAGCACACATTACATTTGACATCTACGAAAGGAAAAAGATGGGCAGCGAGGCAGAAGCAGAATGCCAAGAGCAGCTCTCAAATCCTCAGCTACCCTGTCCTACCACAAAGTTGAGCACCAGGTGCAGCTTTCGCCACACACAAAACACTGTGTCACCAGGAAACGGGCACCCACTTCAGTATCCTGCCCTCTTCTACCCTGACACCTCTTTTGCTCAGCTGGAGACTGGTACCAGTAAGGTGGCACTTGCACAGAGGGTTGTTGAACTGCAACTCCCAGACTTCTGCTACTGGAGACACCCCGTACACAGAAGGGATTTATCTGCAGCTTCAAAAAAAAACTTACAACGAATGAGCATGTTTTGACTTTGGTAATTCCCTCTCAGTTCATAGGCAATTTTTCAGGTATCTTCACAATGCAGTTAATCTCTACTCCCATGATTGAAAACAAATAGCTTCTCGTTAAATATTAAAATTCAGTAGACACTGCAAACATTTTTGATGAATGATTACTTGGTGTTTCAAACACATTTCCTTCAGCAATGCTTTTTGCTCTTCAACTTTCACTGAATTGTTTTATGTTTGTTTTATGTTCTGCTGTAGGCAGGAATCTACAGAGAAACTGAAACGCAATTTGACAGCATTCATGGAAACGACATTCCAGGCTCACACTAAAAGACGGTATCTTTTGCCAGTGAGGCAACGGAAAAAACATTTTACCTTCCCGAAGCTTCACAACTGAGCAGCTCAGTGAGTTCGACATGTTAAGAAAGAGAGTTCAACATGCTAAGGAAGCATGAAAAATACTCTGAAGTCTATTTGGAGAAATCATAATTTCTTTTCAGATAATCTCCAAATGTTCTATTTCTTGCAGATTTTTAATAACTTTTACCTTTACTATTTTTGTACTGCATCCTATCACACCACTGATTTTTTCTTCTGTCTGGATATGTTCAGATATCGTACACTTCTGAGTTGTTATTATCTTTTCTCTCAAGATGCAGAGCACTTCACGTTTTCTTTCCATTACTTGTTGCAGTAAACTACTGTTTAGATTTATTGTTCTGAAAAAGAAAAGACACCATTAACAACATAAATACTAGAATTGAGAAAAAAACTTTTCTTAATTGCTTGAAGAAGCTTTTATCATAACAATGGTTTCTGTATGAGCAGTCTCCTCAAAATTATTACGTTCTCTTTTGTTATTTGGTAGTAGTAAATATCCGTATTCCACAGTAATTCCCAATACATGTATTGAATTCTTGATTCCTTACTCTGAGCAAAAATGGCAGTTGTCTGGCTACTTTCTAAGCAAGAAACGCAAGGGAGAACTAAAGACAACTTTAAGCTTCCAGAGCAACATGAAAGCAACCAGCCAGGCTCGTGGACACTGGACTGAATCCTCTGCTACCGTGAACTCACACTGACATTCACCTGGCCATGGCAGGGGATGCCAGCTAACCATTCTCTTCAGAGTCTCATGTTAGTGCAGTGTCAGTAAGTCAATGGGTCACATCCTGCAGTCTTTACTCAAAAAAATGATTTCAACCAAAAAAGCTAACCAGGGAGTACAAACAAAAGGCCTGTGCTCATGGTCCGTATTATGAACTCCCCACAGCCTAGCACAACACTGCATACACCATGCATACGCACATGCAACAAAAATACCTATAATAATCTATAAGAAGCGTGTAGTATAATAGCATTATCTACACATCAAAAGCTCTGATCAGAAAGAGTGAAGTTGCAGTCAAGCTACTGGAAGTCAGGAAATACACAGCAAACAATCTTCCAGTTTGCTTAGTTTCTCTCTTTGTAATGAAGCCCCACTTTTCCTCACAATAGTTCTTCGGTTTGTCTCTCTTACCTGACCAGATCAAGTCCTATTTCTTCCCCCTCCTTCTCATTCTTCTCAGCTTTGTCCCGCAGTCAGCCAGCTCACTAGCCCCGCTTCATGTAGTTTCTCTGTTATCTTCTACCCTCACATGACACCAGCTGTTCATGGCTCCCAGCCTCAGTCTCCCCTCTTCGTAGTTCATTCTTACCACTTTCCAGCCATCTGGCCAAACTTGGTCTCATTTATCTCCTTGTCACCATACAGCCTTGTCACCCTTGTCTTTGTACATCCTTTTACCAGCCCAATGCTTCCAACTTAACAAGTCATCCCTACTCACACCAAAACATAATTCAGTGTGCATTTACATGCTGCTGGAGATATTTCTAAAGTCAGGTTCTTAGAATGAGCATAAGAAAGAAAGTGAACTCCCACAAACAACACGAGAGGATTATTTTCTAAGAAAAGATGACAAAGTTCACTACCTTGTCTTCTGGGGTGTTAACAGACTTTCTGGTAACAGTTCAAGTCACTTCCTAACTGTATTTAATTGATTAAAAAGTGTCAATTATATTATACTTTTGCAAACTACTCATTGGACGTCCTTGGATGAGATGTCATATCTTCTATGAACAGACAGCTCTAGCAAGACAGCTGGAAGATTAGGAGATTGCTATCCCTGGCTCAAGTTAGTCAGTCTTTTCTCCTCCCTTTCACTGTAAATGGCTATTCATGGGGCTAAATGGCAACTCCCCAAAAATACGACAGAAAGACTCCACTTCATTTAAATCAAGATATCTTCACTTTTAATTAAAAAGTTTTAGATTTATTAGATTCTGGAGTTTTGGATTTATGCAGTCTGTATAAGTCTGAAGTCAGCTTGATTCTTTATTAAATTAAAAATATCCAGAGGCAATTTTTGATCTTTGGAGAGTTACATGCTTATATGAAAGTTCAATCAGTTGGAATGAACTGTCTGAAAACCTTAAAGCTGATCGTTTAAACAAGGCAAATAAAATACCTCTGAAGCAATGCAGCAGCCACTAGAAAAGCAGCCCCAAACATTCCTGAGATTATTAATACAACTTTTTTTCTTTTGCTGCAAAGCCACGCTTTATGCTTGGAATGCAATGAATCTTTGGATTAAGCAAAAATTGAAGAAATGTCAGGCAATCACAAACACTGTTGCTCTTAGAAGTGTCTGCCAAACCAGAGCTATTAGTTATCACAATAACAGACCATCAAGCCTATCATACACTTCATAATAATTACTTATGATTCTGAAGAGGTGTGCTAAGCATCTTGAAAATACAAATTAATGCACTAAGAACTTACAATTTTAACATTTGCCCTAAGAAGTCACAGGGAAGAAATACAATGAAGAAGCACAAAAGCAGTTTGTTGTTTGCTTTCATATGACATATTTTTTGCCTGCTTTAGAGGATGACAAACTCACCAGGTATCCCCAAAAGTTAGAGCAAAAGAAACAAAACAAGCAAAGGTGGTAGAAAAATATAGATTAAATAAAGATTTGCAGTTTCAGAATGAGTGTTAACATACAAAGCATATGAATATGATTTATGTGTGTACAAATGAATGACCAAAATAATCCAAGAGACTTTCTGCCATCTGCTACTTCAGAATTGTGCCCGAGGTGGGACTGGCTCAGAACCCTTCATGCTCCTGGCTTTGAGATTCAGATGCAGAACTAGTGGCAGAACGAAAGAGCCAGAAGACAGACGTAAATTTGCAAAGAGGCGCGGCGAAGAAGTTTCTGAGGCTGAGGCAGCGCTGGACGAGCTGCGGCAGCACTGGGGTCTGTGCGGTGATGCTAATGCCACAGGGGCGCTGAGCAACCCGCTTCGGCCCCCGATGCCGCGGTCCCATGGGCACTGGGTCTCGGAGGTAACCTGGGTCCTCTGCACAGAGCTGCACGGCGTGGCAGGGACAACTCAGCCCCGAGACTCCAGTGATTTCAGGGGATGTGTTCAACTGTAAAGCCGGCAGAAATGCTCTCCTCTTCCCACTACGCTTAGTGAGTACCAGGTTCAGAGCTTTAAAGTACATACCTACCAACAGCTACAAATACCTTTTATTTTAGGACAGCACAGCTAAACGCCCTCCTCTAGCCTTCTGGCACTCAACTTTCTATCATAAAACCCCTTAGACTCCAGGGTTGCGCATGAGCGTATCCCAAGTTATTACTGGGGCGCAGCCTGGAGAAGGCAAAACATCCTGCTCCTCTCGATGACTCAAACACGAGACAACGTGAGGTAAGCAAATACTCAGCTTATCTAAATTATCACTGAAAATAATCATCAAGAGCACAATGCAGCAGAGTTGAAGTTTGACAATCAGAGCAGGGCTTGAACTATTGCAGGGCGATGGCCACTGAATCCATGAGTATATTTTTGCAAGAGCTGAACTCGTTTGCTAGCATAACACTCCGAATATTGGGGATATATCTGAATTAACAAGAGATGGCTGAGTTAAACTCCTGAGAACACATGCATGCAGGCACACAAGTTGCATTGCATTTTTTAATTTTACAGGTCACGTTTCAGAGCTTTTATTTGTTCTACAACCATCACTCTTACCATCTCTTTCACCATCTATTGTATAGGAGCCCTTACTGATCCTGTGTGACCTGTACTGCACACCGTTCTCCTTCCCACCTTGAGAAGCTGAGCTGAAGTACTCAAAAGTAATGATATATAAAATACAATGAGATGTTGCTTTGCTAAGTCCCATTATCAACACACAGAGTATAAGCCTATATACATAAAGATAATTTAAAGGATAAGGATTATGGGTTTTTGTCTGATTGTTTGTTCTGTAAATAACCTTCCTGAAGTCAATTATTTACTATGCTGGCAGCTCTAAAGCATGTCCCAAAGGGCAATGAAGCTGGTGAAGGGTGTAGAGCACAAGCCTTACGAAGAGCTGAGGGAACTGGGGTTGTTTAGCCTGAAGAAAAGGAGGCTGAGGGGAGACCTTATCGCTCTCTACAGCTACCTGAAAGGAGGTTGTAGTGAGGTGGGTGTCGGTCTCTTCTCCCAAGTAACAAGTGATTGGCCCAGAAGGCCAACCGCGTCCTGGGCT